TTCTGTCCATCGATAGACTTCTACCCAACGCCGGACTTGCACGCATCGCCGGATTATCGCCGGATTCCTATCCGACACCGGACTTCCGCCCGTCACTGAAATTCTGTCGGGCTTCTACCTGACGTTAGACTTCTGCGTGTCATCGGACATTCATCAGACTTCTATCCGACACTGGACTTCTTTCCATCGCTAGACTTCTCCCTAACGCCGTCCTTCCAACCTCAGTCGTCAGACAACAGTCTTTATGACCTCCGTCACTCGCCGACTATGGTCCTTCCGACTTACGACGCCCATCGACTACGGTCCTTCATACCAAACAAACACATCAACAATAATTCTTTGTATTCATATCATGTAATGTACTTTACATAATATACATCAAGCTAAGGCCTTCCTCCAATGAAGGGGATCATTTGTAATCAAATACAAATACTAGTGGATTCATTCAAACTGGGCTAGGCCCCGTGATTTTTCCCCCTTTTCAGGGGTATTCCACGTAAAAATATTGGTGTCTCTTGTGATTTTTGCACCCTTTTTTTTATATGTATGCGTGCTAGACCTTCGTACAAAGCTAAGACGTAGGGGTGTCAATTTCGGGTCACGGGTCAGCTTCGGGTCGAACCCAAAACTGACCCGACACTATTTGGGTCAACCCAAACCTGACCCGTTTTTGCATGAAAACGGGTCAATTTTCCTAACCAGAACCCGCCCCACTTCGGGTCTGGGTCAACCCTACACGACCCTAATGACCCGTTTCCAACAAAAAAATATTATTTTTCGGGTAAAAAACGGGTCTATCTCATCTTTTTCGGGTAAAAAACGGATATATTTCCTCTTTTTCGGGTAAAAACGGGTCAATCTCGGGTTGTTGGGTCAAAATCGGGTTTTTGGGTAAAAAACGGTTCAATTTCGGGTCAAAGGGTTAACCCGAACCTGACCCGATTTTTGAAACGGGTCAAAATGTTGAACCCGAACCCGACTCGTTACTGATTCGGGTTGACCCTAACCCGAAATTTTAGGGTCGGGTTTGAGTCGGATTTTCGGGTCGTGTAAAATATTGACACCCCAACTAAGACGTCGGAAATTATATTTCTCTACAGCCGTAAGTATTCCAAGAAGCAACAAGAACATACAATTTTTAAAATATTCATACATTAACAACTCTAGTTGTAAAATGTAACTATCCATCGCAAGTTAAAAAAAAAACAACAAGAAAATAATAAAAAAGCAATGTATAGCAAGTTATTATTGGCTAAAAAAAGATAAAAGAGTGAGAAAGCCATCCCAAACAGTTTCTTACCGAGCCCAATTAGTTCATCAAAATTTTCATTTGGAAAATGTTTGATTGTTGGGGATAGAAGTAAATAAACCACACAATGAAATGAAAAAAAAATAGAATGCAACAAAAAGTAAAGAACACCAGGATTTAAGGAGGAAACCTTGAAATTGGAAAAAAAAATCACGGAGTCATACCACACACCAAGAAATCTATTATAAAAATAAAGATAAAAAAGTACAAATCTCCCTTCTCTCTCTTCTTGCATCTCTTCTCTCTTACATATGTTCATACAAAACATAAAAGAAAGTCAAGTTAATAAAATCAAGGGACGCCACCCTTAAAAAATAACGAGAAAGAAAACTATTTTATCCGCCTCAAAGCAGTGCAGCGCCAGTTTGCAGCACTGCGGAGCTAAAACCTCATATTCCGGTCCTTTTGACAATGCTGTGAAGCTCAAACCCGTAGCACTGCATCACTACATAACATTGTGGCGCCGAATCTAGAGCATTCCAGTGCTCCTCTCTCTATCGTTCCTCACAACAAACTTTGCAACATTTGGGTGCTCGGGTACGCAGCAACGGGCGTCTAGGAAAAAAAATTCAATCGCAAAGCATTTGGACCCAAGCTGACGAAGGACCCCACCCCTCACAATCGACACAATCAGATTCCACACATACTAACAATTGATTTTGTGTTTACTTTGTAAATTTGTTCGTAGATGCTGCAATATTTTATCCCGTTCTTGCAAAACTTATTATATAACTGCGCTTCAATTAACTGTGTTTAAGATGATAAACCCAATGATGTATTTGTATCCGTATTATATGAAAATTCTTCCCAAGAGAGGATTCCACCCATTCAGGTGGAGAGTTCATAACAAAACTTCTCAAACATTATTCTAAGTCACAATTTATAACCATGGTTTGACCGTCCAACTAATCCAGTGATGAATTTCATGCAGTTTTTTCAATGCAATATTGCCGTCAAAATGTTTTTGTTTTAAAACATCTTTGATCAAGTAAGACTGCACTCTATTTAGCGTAAGATTGTAAGCAACTATCGCATGCATGATTATATGCAAAACGTTGTTAGCTGATATTGTCTCTGTGCTCTCAGGTAATTATGTCTTTCCTGATAGAGCATCCGCCACTTTATTTGATCACCTGATTACTCGATATTGTAGTAAAAGCCCATTAGTTTCTCTAAAAGCTAGCTGATGTTGTTGTATAAGCTCATAAATGCTATGTCGATGCGTATGGATTGTATGTTGTTAATTTTTGTATTGGAGGAAGATGAATCTTGAATAAATCTTGCGGTCTCGAATTGAATTCAAGAAAACAGCCCTGGATTGAATTCAATAAAACAGCCGGTTAGCATTTTGTAGCGGATTTGCGGAGGACTTTGCAGCGTAATTTTTTTTTTTTTTTTCGAAAATTCAGACGGATTTGGGGCGGAATTATTCGTTGCTTTTTGTGGCAGATTTGAGGCGAAAATTTTGCTGTAAATCTAAAACAACCTACCCTATTACTGTGATATTGTTCTAATGACAACACCAAAAGCATCTGTTTCAATAATTATTAGGATTCTTGGAGAGAAATGGGAGAGAGAGGGTATGGAGAGAAGGGGAATCCAAGGAGAGGAAATCGGAAAACTATTCTTTATTGGCTTATTATCAAAAAACTATTACAACCTCTACATTTATAGAACAAAGAAACAATTAGGATAAAATGAGCCTAAAAAATCATATAACCTTAAATTGACACTCAAATCATGATGAAATATTAACTATCTCCACATTGATCAAGATTTACAAAGACTAAACAACTACAAAAAAATGAGAAAGAGATCTCCTTGCTTCATTACCTGGACCTAGAGCTGCTTCCACAACAGGCTTTGCCTTGACATCCTTGATCTAGAGCCATGCACTGCTCCATCTGATTCCATCAACAATTGCATCCAAGAAATGGCCAGCCTACTTGCACCTGTGCTGCCCTTGGCTTCCGATATGTTCGTCCAGCCCGCAATTCCTACCCAAGGCTCCACCCGCTTCCGATCACGACCTCGGTCCACAAAGCTGCCGCGTGCCTTGTACAAGAGCAGCCCACACCCTGCGCAATGTCTGCCCATGCATTGCACGCCTCCTGCGATAAGCACATCTTGCATTCGGCTTGATCTGGTTTCGCCCATCTTCCCCACACATCCATACAAGCACACCACTTTTGAGCTTCCTCTAACTTCTCTAAGCACGATCTTATCAAGGCCTTTGACCCTCTTAATAAGCTCCACAAACATGATCACCCGTGCTTTTCCCCATGAGTTGTGTCCGACTTGCCTCCTGAGCATGAAAAATTATTAGGTGCGGAGTGTGGACGGGGTGAGAACCGTCTGCACAGATTGTCCCCGCTCGCGTGCGCCTGCCGCGCTCGCGTCCTCCGCCGTCCGCCGCCGTTGTTCCGGCGCCGGCAACCCAAACCGGGTCGGGTCGGGTCAACCCGGCAACCCGCCGGGTCGGGTCTGGGTTCGGATTTCCGACCCGTTTGTCTACCCGGGTCGGGTTAGGGTCGACCCGTTTGAACCCGGGTCAGTTCCGGGTTCGACCCGAACCCGACCCGTGACCTGAAATTGACACCCCTAATGAAACCAGGCTTCGTTCGCACGCCTATTGCTGCCTCCTCCTTCTTTCTTTCTTGGACAAGAACTTTCCTCCCTATCCACCCAGCTCTGATACCAATTTGTTAGGTTCTTGGAGTATTCTTGGATGGAAATTTGGAGAGGGTGGGAGGGAGAGGAAAAAAAAAAACTATTCTTTATTAGCTTATTATTAAAGCTATTACAACCTCTCTATTTATAGAACGAAGAAACTATTAGGATAAAATGAGTCTAAGAAAATATATAATTAATTTAAAATTGACACTTTAATCTATATCAAATATTAACAACAAAGGATGACATAGAAAAATATGAAAATGCTAAAATTGGTAATAACTTCATTCCCTGTTTAAGAGAGAGATATTTGGGCCGCCTTGATCCATATCAATTTGTCTTAACAATAGTTATGTTAAAGAAGCTGCATTGAAGCATATCAATTTGTCACATTTGGAAGGTTTGATTAATAACACCTATTTTTTTGTGAGAACTCAAATCTATGCGAAGGCCATCAGCTTCTGATTAATGATTTTAACAACACATATTTTTTCAGGAACTAAAAAATTATTGTGATGAGTAATATTAAAGTTTTTTTACTGCTTCTTAAATCAAATTTTTAGTATAAAATTTTTAAATTTTTTACTTAAAAAATGCTTTAAAAAATATTAAAAAAGTCGTCCAAGATAAAATCTAAGAATCCTATAAACTTAAAAAGCATATATCTCTATTTTATAAATAACTAATCACTCCATTATGTTTTGATTGGGATGAATTTCAAAATGATTATATTTGCTTTGAGACCGGCCGCAACAAAAATTTTGATTGATTCATGATATATTTATTCATTTCAAAATAGATTTAATGACTTATAGAATCATACTAATCTACATTTAATCAAGGTATTTGCATCTAGATTTTTTTCAAAAAAATTTCATATATTGCATCAATCAGATAAAAATGAAAATACATGAAAACAATTTATATTATCTAATGCAACATATAAAAATAGCTGATTGTAAATTTCTTCAATCTTCTCTCTTTAACTCCTGGTTCTGCCACTGAACTCTTGTGGATACTACCAATGAACTCCATGAAAACTCCCCCTCCCATCATCACTCCTCCCATAAAACCCATTCCCTCCTGGAAATCCCGGCGCCGTCGGCCCCGCCGTCCCCTTGCACAACCCACCAACACCTCCTACTTCGTCGGCACCTCCACCGCCGCTGCTTCCGCCACCGCCGCCGCCTTTCCCCTCTTCACTCATCTGCTGCCCCTTCATGATACTATACTGGTCCCCACCACCCTCCCTATATCTACTAAGATAGCTCTTAAGAGGAACAACATATGAATCAAAGCCAAGGGTCGTCATGGCCCAAAGCAGATCATCTCCATTAATAGTCTTCCTCTTCTCCCTCTGGCACTTATCAGAAGCTTCGCCGGTCACAAAGTTAATGAACTCAGACACGCACTCCTGAACTGTCTCCTTAGCTTCCTTTGATATCTTGGCGTTGGAAGGCAGAGATTTCTTCATAATACGGCTGACGTTGGCTATAGGAAGGAAGCGGTCATTTTCTTTGGTAGCGTCGCCGCCGCCGCCGCGGCCGGAGTCATTGTCTGACGGCGGGCTTCCGGCGGGGCTTATTAGTTGATTATGAGCTGAAGATTTTGTTCCTTTCATTGATGGTTTGAAGAAATGGAAGAATGGTGGAGGTTTATAAAGGGAGGGGGAGTTGAATGGGCGGAAGGAACAGAGGGAAGGTAAAAATAAAATTATTGTTGGATTTGGTCAACGGTCGGATGGGCTGATTAGCTAGAAACAAGCCAAATGGAAAGCAATGACACCAATTAGGAAGAGGCTTTAGATTACTTGCCGGCCTCCTTTTGTGGAACTTTTATTAGGTCCTCTTACAGGTTCGGTCATCACTGAGTTACTCGGCTTTTGCTCAGTATTGCTAGGTATTACTTTGCAATAACGAGAAATACCGCTCTGTGAAGATCAATACCTAGTGATACCGAGCAATACCGAGTAATACCAAAAAATACCGAATTTTTCTAGAAAAAACTCGATATTTTTTTGGTATTACTCGGTATTGCTCGGTATTTGTACTCACATAATGATATTTCTCGTTATTGTTGGTATTGCTCGGTATTTGTTCGGTATTTCCCGTTTTGTGCCTGCTACGTGGCGCGATCTCAGTACCGGCCGAATGTAGCTCTACGTACGTTCACCGGACCAAATAAAAGTTCCCTTTTGTGGGCCCAATGACGACAAGGCACTTAAAAAAAAAGGCTAATTATAAAATTTAATGAGTGAGTCAAGGTTGAATTTTTATTTAAAATATTTTACTTGCTCCTAAATAAATAATAATATTAATTATGTGAATATTTGGAATAAAATTTATTGAATATATTTATAATTTAACACTGTGTTGTAAGGTTTCAAGTCCTGGATGATAAAAACTGAAGGTTTGTGTTATGTGATCGACAGGTGATATAAAGCTTATCGAAAAATCATGGCATGAAAATATGACGTAATAGAGAAAAAAATATTCATGCACTCAACCTCACATAATGGATAAAAACTTAATGTTTTTCTTGCAGCTTCAAATTTTAATATTTTGTCTTCAGAAAGATTGTATATTTTTATTTTGTTCTGTAAATTTAAAATTGAAAATAAATAGATAATTAAATATATTCTATTTTTTAATACCATCTATTAATTATTTAAAAAACTGAAAAAATGTTGCTAGGAAACCAATTTTTTTGCTTAAACTTTCTGCTAACATTGTTATATTTCATAAGATAACCCTAAAACTAATGCTAAATAATTATTAATATATATATATATATAATTCAGTATAAAATTTTGACTCGAATAAATTTTAATTAGGAATAGAATGATCTAGAAAAATCTAGAAAACTCCGAAGACAGCGTTCTACATAGTTATGTTGTTGAGCGCATCCAATGATCCCCTCCTCTATGTTAAGTGTCGCCCAAAATTGTACCCAATTGAGTTCTTCAACTGAAAGTCTTATATAAATCAAGATGAGAATTATTATTATTTAAGAAAGTACTCTAAATAACTAGTCGAAATTTTAGAGCAAAATAACTTTATTAAGGCTTTATTTGGGACAACTTTCTTACTGCTTCTTAAAGCAGCTTTTTAGTACAAACATTTTAATTTTTATATTAAAAAACTGCTTTAAGAAACAGTAAGAAAGCCGTCCCAAACGAAGCCTAAGTAAACTTATAAGTTCCCTATGTCGAATCCAAATTAGTTTGTGGGCGATACCTGACTTTAATAAAAAGCCTACCTAAAGAGTAGAGAAATAAGTAAAGCAAGAGCGGAGTGTAGAAGAAAAGTAGTGGAATACAAGAGATCTCAAATAAATAGAAATTTCTGTAATTTATTTATAGAATTTTGAGGGGTACATAAAAAACTACAAAGAAAAAAGATAAAATATAACGCTATACGGATTACATGTACAACACTATAACATGCTATAAACACATATGGTGTAATGCCTAGAATTAAATTTGAAAGAATTATATGTTTTATCTTTTTAATTAATCAATCAGAGCTTCTAAACAATAAATCTGTGTATCGAATGATAATTGCTTTCACTAGATACGAATGAATATAATGTAATATTTTGATGTATGTAATTATTAATTGCTTTCAATGAATACACAGATTTATTGTTTAGAAGCTCTGGTTGATATTCTTAAAAAGATAAATAGACAATTAATTTCCTTCAAATTGGCAATTATTAATTCTTATAATACAAAAAATAATAATTATATAAAGTCAAACTTTTAATTTGCTTTATTTCTTCCATGTTATAACTGATGGTAACAACCATTATAAAATCTAATCAAGGAGGTAGCCTAATTCTAAATGAAGAAATGAGTAAAAATATAATTACTTAATTACTGATTTTCAATATATGGACCATAAAAGATATATTTATATTGAATATGAGAAGGAATTCAATAATAATTTAGAAAATAAAATACATAAATTGACAGCAAAGTAGACTGGCTCAACAGCCTTATTTATTGATGCCTTTGTTGGTTTCCTGCCTTTTAGACTCAGCTTCTGCTGCTTCCATTTTGTTCTATTTGATTGGTTTTATGTATAGAACACTCAGTAATCTATTTGTTATTTAGTGATTGATAGTTTTTGGTATTTTTCTGTAGCGGAGAATACAATTTCTTTCTGTTGAATTTGCCCATGGTGAGGTGCTGGCTTACTTGTTTTCTGCTTAGAAAATAAGGATTATCTCGCAGGAAAACACTGTAATTAAATTCTTAATTGGTCGTTTAGATGAAAATTAATCAGTATTTTGTTTTGTATTGTTATTTGATAATGTTAATAAAACATTATTTACAATAAAATATTTATGATTCGCTCTTATCTAATAGTATCTGATTCAGCTTTGTTTTTTTTTTTTTCAAAATTAAAATTAACGGTGATACAATTTGAATTGGAAATTTTAATAAAAATTTTTAAATGGCTGATCAATTAACTCTTCTATTATACTCAGCTTAAAGTTAACCTAATGATTAAAAAAATTATCCGTGTTGCGTTCTGGAACATTCGCGGAGGTAGAGAGATATAGAGTTTAGCATCATATCTTTGTACGAAGATCCAACACACAGATAAATGAGAGAGAACGCAAGAGTCATAAGCACCACCAAATGATTCTGCTAGTGTCTGGAGTTGATTACAAATGATGCTCTTCCGTGGTGGAAAGTGTTGACTCAGTGTAGCAAATATACGTCATTTAGAGCGTTTTACATGGTTGGGGCTAGAATAACCTAATGTAATGAGAGTTATTCTCAAGATAGTGTTGACTTATTTATTTGATTGGTAAGATTTTATATGGGAGACAGAAGTCAAAGGGACCATAGTCAGCAAGTGACGAAGGTCAAAAGGACCGTATTTGGACTACAGTGGTCAAAAATACCATAGCTAGTGAGTTAGTGAGCCCAGAGGACCGAGGTCGGAGAGACTGTAATCAATGGGCGACATATTGGAGGGACCGTAGTTGGCAAGCGATGGAGGTCAAAGAACTGTTGTCGAGTGACCGAGATCAAAGAGACCATAATCGACGGGTGGCGGAGGTCAAAGGGACCTTAGTCGACAAGCAACGGAGGTCGGAGGACGACGAAGGTCGGAGAGACCGTAGTCTGCAAGCAACGAAGGTCAGAGAGGCTGTAGTCGATGGGCAGCAGAGATCACAGGGATCGTCGTAAGCTGACGATTGAGGACTGAGGTACCATAGTCAACAGGAAACGAAGGTAGGATGGATCATATGCCACGCACCGGAATCTATATTGAAAGAATTGCATTTATATTTTATTTTAACCATTTAACTATAGCTTATCAATTTCTTATGAACAGCGAAAAAATTATGCATGATATCCAAAGTCTCATATCATAGGATCATTATCCTTTCATGAAAATATGTAAAACCACATAATAAGCACATGTCACGGTAAGTAACAAAAATCTTACAATTGAAATCAATGCAAAATAAAATAGAACAATATGTTATAAATCATATAAAAAAGTATATGCATCAATGTATATATACCATTTTTTTGTATCAATAATCAGTCTATAACATATTATATCTTAGTTGGTTCTATTTCATTCTTCCATCATAAACTCTAATCAATCAATTAGTCAATCTTTATTACTCAATCAATTACATTCAATCTTATCATCCGTTCAGCTCACATCAATCTGTCAGTTACAATCACAATATCAATAATAGTATTTAGTAACATAACTATATCAATAACAATATCAGTAATAAATATCAATATAAAAAATCAATAATCAATATCAGTATCAACATAAGTAATCAATATCCATAAAACTAATCAATATCAATATTAGTAATCAGTATCTATATCAATAATCAATATCAACAACAATATCTCAGTATCAGTATTGGCATCTGACATTAAAATGAGGGTATCTTGAGTTTGCGGGTATCACGTGCAATCAATTATATCAATGAATCAATGTTCTTGACCTTATGACTCCCAATCAAAAATCACATGAATTAGTGTCCTCGATTCTTTATGACTCACAATCAATTTCTAACTCCATATAACTCCTAATCAATGAATCACATAAATCAGTAGAGTATAACATTGAGTTATCATATCATATATATGATCTCAATCAGTACATCATTTCATCAGTACCAGTAGCACATTTTAGTACATATTACTCATATAAACACATTCTATTTTCAATATCTTTTTTCTTACTCATTCATATACATAAATTTAACTGATGAAAATGCAAAAAAATTATATCAAATTATTCAAAATGATCAAATTTATAACATATCAAAATTTAAACAGTGAAAGCTTATGAGATCAGAAGACGATACATTTTTGGTAGATTTAAGAGTGATAAAATTCGTAGAAATCAAAACCATTAAAAATAAGAGTAAGCGATCAATCACTTACTACGAATAAAACAAAATTTGTAATAAGAACGACGTGCAAATACAACCCAAAGACCTTTCTCTCTCATTTCTGTTATTCTCCTCCAATTTCTTCTTGGTCAAACAACAAAGTGAAGGAGGCGATGGGGTGAGGTAAAGATTATATATATATATATATATATATATATATATTTGTTGTTAATGGCC